TTATATTCCAGTTTCTCAGGCTGTTATCACGATGATGATAAATTTATGCTTTATTATATTGTATAATCCAGTCCTAAACAACACTAAGCAGAGGAAATAGCAAAATTAGTTGTCTGACACAACATATAATTTATTGCCAAGAAGCATTTTTACAATAAAGAAGCAATCAACCTAACAGAAGGACTTTATTTTTTGTGCTAGGTTTATATACTGTATATGATATCAGAATAGCTTGTTTCCCAGTACGTAATGTGCAACACTTCCTTGGACATCTTCTTAAAAATGGACRTGTTTTCCCAACATTCTGCAGATTAACTTTTAAAAAGCAGTTCTTTCAAAATCTCTCCCATTTAATCACTTATATTCTGATTAATGCAGGCGCACATGTTTCAGAATTCTCTTTTTTGTTGTTGTTTTCTGTGCTTTGAGCCTCAACAGCTCCGCAGTCAGTTTTGATCMAAATATGTTTCACCTCAACAGATCAGCGTTGGGAAAAAAAAAAGCAGACTCTGTCAAAAACCAGGTCATGCGAGTTTTCATCAGAGCAATAGACCTCTAACCCATCTAACCCACCGCTGAATGTCATTTTTATTTCCTAATTCAATCCTATTTCACAGAAGAGATCGGGTTGTTGAGGCAGAAACCTTAACAACAAAATGTAAAAAGAGGCTCTATTCATCTCGGAGTCTTTTTGTTGAATGACTGCCTGAACTCAATGCTTGGTTTTGTTGATATCGGCTTATTAATTACTCCGACTGTATGGGCCACATCATTATATGAGTATCATCCTCTGCAAGAAAGGGCCTTTATTTCAGCTTCAATACTTCAATTGTGCCGTTGCTCAAAAGAGGAGGACAAATAAAGTGAAAGAAATCTACCATCTGATCCAATGAGAAGAACTGAAAATCCCTTGGGTGTCGACTGGCCACGGGGACATGTGGTAATATTGGAAAAAGGAAAAAAAAAATCAGATAACTGTCCACTTGATATTTTGTCTGAGTGTTGCTCCTGTTCATCCTATCTTATCCTCCCACTTTGAAACTTCTCACGGACTTAAAGGTGTTTTTTTTTCTCCCCTCCGATAACCTCTGAAGTTTATTGATTTTGGAGGATTTTTATTTTTTATTTTATTATTTTTATTTCTGTAATATTGAAGTCCACAACTGATGGGAYTGCAGTGGATCAAAGGAGTAGCCCTTAAAAACGAGCGTATCGGACACTGTTAGACCTCCTAAATGTGCCGGCCGGGTTCTGAAATGTCAGCCCAGGAGTGAGTTTTCATGTGAATGRTTTGCTACATGGAGGGACTTTTTTWATCTTTTAAAAYATTCATAAAYCCATGTTTGCTTTCAGTTACGCATCTGCAGTCTTAATAACACGACAAACAACTTTCTCTGCAGGTCAAGCGTTGGCAGCAGAGGAGCACTTTCTTGAAAACACACGAYATAATAAACCAAACACAGACCCAAACCTTAAAACAGATATATGCACACACAGATAATATACACACGTTTTTTTTTCTTATCAGTAAAAATACACACATGCTGCTCTGTTTACATTCAAAGACACAGGAAAAAAGCAATTATTATAACAGTTAWGACAGAGTCCAAACACACATTTTACTCAAGATTGTGTGTTGTTTCCTCCTTCTAAGCCTTTTAGCCACATGATTAGTTTCAGTCACATCTGGACCTAGTTATGTCTCTTTTTAATCAGAATGGTTATTTGAGATGGGCTGATGTAGAAAATTGGGGCAAGTTACTTTAAGAGAGCCTACAGCCCTAGCAAATCTTGTGTATAGAAATAAGTTTAAAGACAGAAAATATTTGACCCAGAAGCACCCCGAGTGGGAGGTCAGACATTATTGGGCAGTATGTAGTGTGTGTGCATGTGTGCGTGCATGCGTGCGTGCGTGCGTGTGCAGTGGTGTTCTCTGCAGGATAGTGGGAGTACAGGGCGCTGGGAAATAAGAAATAAGGATCCTGCAGCACGCCACAGTAGGTAAATGTATTATTCTGAGACTTGGGCAAATTGCAGTGAGACWCGGGGAGTTATAGGTTGTGCTGAGGGTCCAGATAAATATGGTAATATCCATGGATTACTGACCATTAAGCTCTCAGCTTTCTGTTGGATACAACTCGAGAAATGTGAGAATGTTTCCTGGAAAACACTTAGGAGAAAATGCACATTTGTTTCAGTTACCGGGGTTTTACGGGCGTTAATATCAAACCCACAGGTGTGTAATATATACAGCACACAGGGATGCCCAGAGAGCAATAAATGAGGTTTTAGAGCTGAGGCTAGTGGTAGCTCTCAATTTATTCCTGGATATATGGAAGTTTAAAACTTTTTAAACTCAAATTGAACTTATTTATTTGAACTGGAACTGAAAAGAGGCTCAACTAAAGTGTAAGTGAAAATCCCAGAGTATCGAAAACTGGTTAAAGGTACAAATGTGTATTAATGTCATATTTCTGTTTAATTTTTTGCATTTATAACATCTTTCCATCTCCATCTTCTGGTTTCTTGCGTCTCTGATTTTTCAGATTCATGCTTCAGTTTATAGGAAGTCAAATAAAGTTTATTTTTCACCTTTCATCTTTTGTCCTCCACCTTTCAGCACCACTYTGGTGTTTTTTTTAACATGGTGCTCTAAATTGAAAGTGTTTTCTCTGAACCATTTATTTGCATTTATAATTATCTGAATTAATTACATGTTACTTCCATTATTTAAATCATGTTCATTCTGCTGCCAAATGTTTTACACACYGTTTGGCCCTGAAAGCTCATCTGAACTGAACATTATCTCAATTTTAAAAAGTAGTCATGTGTAGCCGCCCTTTACTTACCGGTACTCCTTTTTTTTATTGATTAAAAAGGTGATTGTGATCTGTCACCCCTCAAATATCTTCTTCAATGGATCAATAGCTTTGATTGTTAATGCTGTCGAAACTTCCGGATCATCAGCCACGCTAAGCCGAAAATAAAACAGGGGGCGATGTCAATAAGATGAAGCGTGCAGGAAAAAGGCACATGTGGGGTGAAGYGCTCACTCCTTTATTTGGTTCGGTCATAACTCACCGTAACTGCATTTCAGCCTTGGGAATTATGTAAATGCTCCRTGTGTTTGTACTTGTAATCTAATTGTTGCTTAAATTACATAAATGTAGACAGGCAGTAGGTTTTTATTTTCTCTATACATGTACTTTGACCGTGACACTTTAGATTCAAATAGTTTGCATCTCTTAAAGATTTCCGGCCTCAGTGAGACTCTGATCTTGATTTTTTTTGCTCTTCGAGAGAAGATATGCTGCTCACTTTTTTCTTTACATGTAAAAGTTTAATATTATCTTAAAGTGTCTGTGACATGTGTTAAGGGTGGAGGTCTGAGCTCTGAGTAATTACCGAACACTGAGAAAGGTTTAACAGATTTATTGAATAAATGTGAGAATGAGCATTGGGAACTGGTCACCGGGATCAGCAGATCTGGACNCATAACAGGTATATTTTCATTGGAACTTGGTTTTGCCAAAATGAAACAGGAAGTGACATCAAAGGGAAACAAAGAAAATGAACTCCCTGGTCGTTGTTAATAATTCACTATTATTTGAACTCTGACTCTTCTTCACCCTCTGTGATATTGACTCAAAATAATATAAAAAAAACACCAGATTGTTCTCAACAGTCCGTGTTGTTGGCCATCGTAGCAATGCCGTTTACATGCAGACATTCCCCCTTTGGCATCACTTCCTGTTACTACTCATATGAATATCTCAACAACCTTTTATCTCAGCTGTGGTTTTTTTTTTCTTCAATTTGTTTTCAATGTTATCTTTCAAAAAAATGAATTCACATTAACACAAAAAATGATGTCACATGTGCTTTAAATGGTATCTCACCCTTTCTGATTTGTTCATGTCCAGATCCTTTTCATAGGAAGATTTTTCTTTGTAAGTTAGGCTAATTAATACTTGAAACTTCAAGCTTAAAAAAGCACCAGAAAGTATAAACCAGTATTGAATTTTACATGTAACACAAACGCTATTAAAAAAAAAAGAATTTACAAACTATATCTCAGGGCATTTTGGTACAGCCTGTTAAAAAGATACATACAGCAATTATTACGTACCAAAAGGCTAATGTAGATAAGAGTGTTTTTGCCTGTGCTTGTGTGTGCATGTGTGTTTATGTGTCTGGCTGTTAGCAAAATATCTCATGAAACACTGAATGGATCTTAGAGTTATTATTAGCTGTA